CACACCCTTGTCCCCACCCCGTGCCCCCCACACACCCTCATGCCCCAAACACTCCCCCGTGCCCCATGTGTTTTCTATCTAAATTATTTACTGGGTCTGGACTGGCTGTGGATGTTTACATGTGGGTCCTGGTACAAACAAAGTTTGAGACCTGCTGTGCTAAAGGACTGGTCCGGCTAGACCAGGCTCAGGATGATTAGGGGTTTCCAAGGGGAAGAAAACCCAGTTTTACAACCCGTGTGTTCACAGCACTGTCTCTGGCTCTTTTTAAAAAGATGTGGAAGGCATTTGTACCTTACAGAATGGCCACAGGGAGCTAGATACATAAAAACACGTACATGCGTATGCAATACACATACATATATTGATCAAATCACAGCGTATGTGTTTAGCACAAGTTTCCAGAGCTGAAGTTCAATTCAGCACATGTGCGTACCTAGCTATCTATCTAGCCCAAGCTTTTCCTAGCCGATTAGTCTGTATCTAGTTAGATATATATCTGTTAGCCTATAAAGTGCAAATCTACTCTGCCTGGTGCTTGATTTCAGATTAATGTGGTTTAGTCCCGTTTAACAAAAGATGTCAGTGAAAGTACTGGATGCAAACAAGCTCCTTCACTGTCTGCAGGAAAAGCATGGCAGTGCTGTGCCCTGTATGTGGGAAAGGAAAATGGTTTGAAAAAATGTGCAATTGAAACTCAGCGAAATGCTGAAAACAATGCTAGGGCTTAAATGGTAAAAGCTAAGCCCTAAAAGCTGCGTGTGATTTTAGTTTTAATAATCTGTCAGGGGTAGATCAGGATACTTGCAAAATCAGAAGCAATGTACAATCAGGATATTTCATTTAAAAATAATGTAATTTTAGCTAGCTGGTCTTAAAATATTATTTGCATTCAGTCAGCATCTCTTTTAAGTTCACCACAGATGGCCTAGCAATTATTAGTAAGGTGATCAAAAGTAGTTCTTTCATACAGCAGCCCCCATTCCTGCCCTCTCTTCTTTAGATACCTGCACCTGACCGGAGATGAAGTGATATTTTAAAAGGAAAAGCAACCAATGCCACACATTTATTGGTGGTTCTTACTCTATGCGCTTCCTCTGTAGTTAATAAAGATCACTTTTTTTTTCTTTTTAATGGTGCTGTGGGCAGGAAGATAACGGACTGTAGCTGAGGGTTTCCTAATATCTTCCAAAGTGTGTCTTTTGCATTATTGATTTGTTTTTCCTACTGGGCCATACTTTAGGGTTTTACTATAGAGAACTACAACTTAATTGATTTTCCCCCATCTGACTGTGTCAATAGGCTTAGTGTCTCATCCCAGACAATACTAGGCTGTCATAATGCAAAAGATATTTTTTTGAGGGAAGCTTTTCTATATGACATTGTATACCTTGACTTCCAAAAAGCCTTTGATCTGGTATCCCACGATGTCCTCCTGAGAAAATTGGAGGATTGTGGGCTTAACTCCAGGATGGTCAGGTGGGTAGGAAACTGGCTGCGGGGTAAGACTCAGAGAGTCCTAATGAAATGCCCTGTGTTGTCCTGGCAAGAAGTGGCCAGCAGCGTCCCCCAGGGGTCGGTCTTGGTCTAGTGCTTTTCAACATCTTCATCAACGATTTGGATGTGGGGCCAAGTTCACGGGTGGCACCAAGTTATGGGGAAGTGTGATCACGCTTGAAGATAGGCTGCAGATACAGGTGGACCTAGACAGGTTTGCAAGTTGGGCGGATCAGAATGCGATGAAGTTCAACGTTGAGAAATGTAAAGTGCTCCACATGGGGACGAACAACCCCCAACACACCTACAATCTTGGCTACGCCAAACTGACTGGCACCATGAACAAAAGGGACCTGGGGGGTAACAATAGACCACGGTATGAATATGAGCTAGCAGTGCGATGCTGTAGCCAGTAGGGCAAATAATACTCTGGCGTGCATCAATCGATGCATCTCTAGCAAAACCAGGGAGGTGATTCTTCAGCTCTGCTTGGCATTGGTGAGACCGCACCTGGAGTACTGCGTCTAGTACTGGGCGCTGCACTTTAACAGGGATATGGAAAAGCTTGAGAGAGTCCAGAGAAGGGCCACCGGTATGATCAGAGACTTTCAAGGCAAGACATACGAGGAAAGGCTGAGGGACCTGGGACTCTTCAGCCTGCAGAGGGGACCTGGTAGCTTACTACTACATTAGGGGAGTACATCAAAGGCTCCATGAACAACTGTTCACAAGGGCACCCTTGGGGAAAACCAGGGGTAATGGCCACAAACTCCTGGAAGACCATTTCAGATTCAACATTAGGGAAAAACCTCTTCACAGTCAGGGTGTCCAGATTGTGGAATAAGCTCCCTCCAAAGGTAGTGCAATCACCTACCCTAGAGATCTTCAAGAGGAGACTGACCCGAGTCACCAGACCCAAGTTGTCTTTCATGTCTGGTGCCGGGGGCTGGACCTGATGATCTTCTGAGGTCCCTTCTGGCCCCTTCAAATCTCTGAATCTATGAGTATCTATATCCAGCTGGCATTTGAGAGTCCAGGACTGCTGAAGAGAGGTCAGGAGAGATGGGCCATGTCTGCAAGTGTAGCGAATACACTTCACTTCACTCGTCACAAGTGAAGTGGCTCGTCCTCCTTTGCACCCATATACCTGTGCTTATGCACTTTCAGTCTTCAAAATCTTGGTCACTCTCCAGTTTTGGGGAAAATAAGACCAAGCAACTCCAGAAAAATTAAATATTAGAGGTGCACCAATACATCAGTCAAATATTGGATCAGCACCAATAAAAAGAAAATGGACTGTATTGGAAATTGGCCTGATGTGGCTGATAATTGGGCAGATAAATGCCTGTGTGTGCACACAGATGCAGCCCGGCAACATGGAGAGCTGCGTGCAGCTGGTTATTCTGTTGTGGTGGAAGGGGAGGGAAGGGGTTGGTAGGGGGCAGATCAAGGCCCCCCACAGTGAGGGAGGGAGTGGGGCTGGGGCAGGCACTGCCCAGCTGGGGCAGGGTGGGGTGCAGGACAGAGGGGAGCGGCCCCTGCTGCTGTGCCCTGCCAAGGGGGGGTGCCCAGGAGGGCATGGGTGGTGTGCCGCCAAGTCTGTGCAGGGTGCAGGCAGGGCGGGCTACAGCTGTGGACTGGGTCTGTGCTGAGCCCTACCCCCTGGGGCTGGGCCAGCCTGTGCTCAGGGAGGTGGGGGTGACAGCACTGGAAGGGGGCTTATGGGGGGGGCTGCAGCCACCCCAAATCTCAGTATAGCCCCCTCCCAGCACAGCGGAAGCCACCCGCTCCAGCCTCTACTGGGAAGAGCCTGGTACAGTCCCAGCCCACAGCTGCAGCCTGCCCTGCCCCATGCAGATCAGGGGGCACACATCCACCCCATGCCCTCCCAAGGTGCACGCAACAACGGGAGCCCCCCCGCCCCCTCTGGATGCACCATGGCTCTGTACTGCACCTGCCCAGCAGTGTCTGCAAGTGGTTGCCAACTGCCAGTCAGCGCTTGCCTAGACCCCAACACCGCCATGGCTGCCTGTGGGAGCTCCCCACTTGGCCTGCCCCACCGCCAACACTGCCTGCAGGCGGTCACTGTGCCCCCCCAGCCTCCAGGGGCACGCGCCATTCATGTCATTGCTTTATGGAAGACTGGGCTGCCTTTTCTCAACGGCAGATGTAATGAATTGACTTTAAAGGTACCTTATCTCAGTGGGTCACTGTTCTAGGGGGAGAATAAACTGGTACCCATACTGCTGCACCCATTTTTAAGTTATTCCACTGCATTTTGGTGACACGTGGCTAGTGCGACCCTTCTCAAGCTACAGGCAGTCCTCAGACTTACGACACAATTGGTTCCTGAAAACAGTGTCTTAAGTTGAAACGTAACTCGGAACTGATTTTCCCATAGGAAACAATATTATAAGTAGGGGATCGGTTCCTGAACCCAGGCCCGATACCCTAGTTTCACCAAAAATAACCCGGAATTTTGTGCTCGATCAATGATAGATGAGTAATGTGGCTACAATAACCTATTTATATTGTAAATAGCAATCATATGGATTTGGAAAGACTTCTTTGAGGTCACTTTGCTGGACTTTTTGAAGGGCTCTTGGCTGGAGTCTTCCCAGGAGTCTTGGCTGCAGGTTTTTCTGGAGTCCTGTCTGCTTTCTTAAAGCAAGCGCCTAAGGAAACTTGGACAGATGCTCTCCAGGGAGTCGGGCGGCGCAACAAGCTTGTTCGCTGGCGTGGCGGTTGTAAAGTTGAAACAGGGGGTCCATTTATAAACGTGGTCACTCCAAACGTGGGAAGCGAAGGACTAGCCCGCACAACCCCGGCCTCGATGGCTGCGTCTTGCTGCGCGGAGGCCCCTGGCCCTCGCCCTCACGCCCTGCTCGTGGCCACGCTAGTTTTGCAGCCCGGAA